GCCTTACTAGTAGTAACAAGGACGCTACTAGTAACAGGTGCATCGCTGCTAGGAACAAGTGCCTTACTAGTAGTAATAAGGACGCACGCTAGTAGTAACAAGTGCCACGCTAGTAGTAACAGGTGCCTTACTAGTAGTAACAAGAAGCTATTAATTTAAATTTGACGCTGGGAGAGCTTTGAGGCCTGACCTTTCCTGACTGACATGGTGCCCTGCGCCCTGTTGCCAGGAAGAGCTGGTGGAGAAGATCAAAGCGTTACAGCGCTCCGACCCCACCTCCAAACAGGTCAGTTTCTTGAGCTGGGGGTAGCGGACTTTGAAAGCAACAAAGAACAAGCCACAGCAGAACAAGTCCAAAATACATTGACCCTGGATTATCCGAAGCTGATCTGATAGCTTGTGCGACTGGCAGACGTGGTGGGATTATTGTGATCAACACCTTGGCGGTGTGAAGGACTGCGATATGACGAATGGGAAATACCGAGCATCAATTTGATCTTGGTACAGTAAGTGTCATGTAGGTCAAACAAAGCCTTCAAGGTTTGCAGCGAACTGTGGATTTAGATGAAGGATCCCAAGCGCCATGATGAAAACACCTTGGCGGATTTCCTTGCGATCTTCGAAAGTGGAGGCACATGGGGCCAAGGCTAGCCAGGGCTTGGAAGGGTAGTGTGGAAGGCCTTTGCACTCATGACTCATAATGGAGACGTTCAACTCTTTCGATGGGGAAATTGCCGTGTTGTCCTGCCTTCGTCCTTCACAAGAAGAAATTGTGACCATTCTAGGCCGTACTATCAAATGGCAAAGCGACCAGGGCGCTGCAATTGGAAGAATAAGGAGCGTTTTCCCGCAGCACTATTCTGTGGCCAGGGTCAGTACGCAAGTTAGAAACAGGCATCAACTACAGGTGTTGATGAAGGACGGGTTGATAGACACTAGATCAAGGAGGGCATTTGTTTGCCACAGCCTTTGCATGCCTTTGCTGTACATGAACAAATTTGTATGCCGAGGTTTCAAGGGTTGTGACCATGCTCGAACTTTTCAACTTCAATGCTAATTCGGATTCATGGATACAGTCTTGGATATGAGTAGCACCCAACAACTCCCCCTTCTGAATACCTCAAATCCAACGTCCAACTCCCTCACCCGGTTGCGTCCAATGCCCCCCTGAATGCCCCCCCCATGATCCTCATGTCCTGTGCCTTGGTCGTTCTGCCCTGCCCCCAGGAATCACTCCACCTCCAAGGCCCTCCTGACCGCACGTCATGTGCCCCTGGTCCTACGGCTGAACTGTTTGTAGGGTCTAGTCTGACCCGGCAGTTTTGTTTTGGTTGACTGTTCTAGTCAAGTGCACGCACCTCGTCCCAAGACCATTCGCGTCCCATTGCCGCTTGAAACGGGTTGACATCTTTTGACACTCACGAGTGTATTTTACATCGATTCCGGACGCTGGGATTCCTGGCCAGAGCTTGGAATTTTACTTTCGCCTATATACCAAATGTGCCAAAAAGGAGTGAATTGCAGTCTGAAAGTTCTCTCAGCCTCAAGTTCTTTTGATTTTGATTGCTGAACACACTCGGCACAGACATGGAAGTGCACGCGATAGGCCTGCCGTGCCATCTCGGCCAATTGTGGCCAGCCGGCCAATTCCGAGTGGTCGGCCAAGCCCCCGCTTTGCTGAGGTGCGGACCTCAATCCTCACGGAAGGAATTAGGAGTCAATTGCCGTCTGGTTCTGCAAAACTGGTAGAACTGAGTGAAAATCACAGTTTCTATAAATGCATCGCGGAGGGACTATCGCGGTTCAA